TGATGCTAAGTTCAGACTAAGGTATGATAAGTAACGTCTGACCAGAAATTGACCATTTCCACATCCTGCACGCAGTTAGAACTCCAGGCCTGAAGTTCAGAGCAGAGGTGGGGCAGAAGGCTTAGTTCCCAAAAGTTCCCCGAGGCCCTGCAGACAGCCAGACCCTGCGGAAAGGCTGAGTTCAGGGGTGGGAAGAACGAGGAAGAAAGGCAGAAAACAAACACGCACATACCACAGAAGAACCAGGAGCACATGGAGTGCCAGACACAAGGGAGGACAGAGCTTGAGGCCCAGGTCTTCCAGCCGAGGTATCGTGCCCTCGGCAGGGCCCTGGAGAAACGGCAGAGACCAGACTGCCCGGTTCCCACCCTCAGGAAGTGGCGTGGTCCTGGGAGCAGAGAGGGGAAAGGTACGGAGACGAGGGGAGGGATGTAGAGAGTTACAGACTCAGTGCGATGGAGAATGGGGAGGAGGGCTCAAGGGAGGCTCCCTGCAGGAGCTGGCACCTGGGTGTCCGTGAGCTTCTCCTCTTCCCACTCCTAGTAGGACTTGGGATTTCTCCACAGCTAGTCCCAGTCCCCATCCTTGGGGGGTTTGCCTCCACCCTACGCTGCTCCCATCTCAGAAAATGGGTTCTTATTACCTGAAACTTCTGACCCTAGTGATGGGTTCAGAAATGGGCCATGGTCCAGGGTAGGCTGTTCAGAGAAACTACTCCTGGGCTTTAGTTTGCATTCCCCAAGGAGCAGATATTCTCTGTGTGCTGGAGTTGCACCCGGGAGAGGGGGTCTTGGGAGCTGCTGGGCCATCTTGGTGTCAGGAGCCTATTCCTGCCTCCTAACCCTGAGAGATGGAGCCCAGGTTGCCCCCGAGCAAGCCTCACCTGCCCTGGGCACAGACCTTCTAGTTACTGGAGCCAGTCACTGTCCTTTCCTGCTAAAGCCCAGCTGAATTCTGTGACTTGCAGCACCCAGGCAGTTGGAGCTGCGTGCCAAGGCCCAGCCTCGAAGAGGACTCACGTGTCTGAGGGCAGAGGCCCAGCCTGAGCCCGAGCCCCACGGAGGGGCAAGTGCGTGAGACGAGGCCAGCGAGGCTGTGTGTTAACAGCTAACCTGCCCCGATTTCCTTCTGTGCCAGGCATTGTTCTCAGGTGTTTACGTGCGTAACTTCACCTCATCCTCCAAGGACTCCATGAGGTGAGCAGCGTTAATATCCCATTTTATAGAGAAGCAAATGGGAGCAGAGGAGGATAAGGAACTGGCCCCTGGGCTGACACAAGGGGCAGCTGGACTTGCTCCCAGACAGTCGACTCCAGAGCCTGTAGGTCAGACAGGCCATATGGCCGACAGGCCAAAGGTCGTTGAGAGGGGAGGAGGATAAAGGTTGAGAAGACACTGGATTTGATGGTGGAGGGTCATCAGTGGCCCCTCTCAACCTCCCTGAGAGGTGCATTTTAATGAGGGGTCGAGTGGAAGCCCGTTTGCAAGGTGTGAATGGGAGCCAGGAGACAGGTGACAGAGAGAAACAGCTAGAAAGACCACCTTTTTCTTCATGATGGTGCTTGCAAGGGGAGATAATGAAGGAGTAAAGATTAGGCCCGAGGACCCAGCCAGAACCCCTGAGGGAGACAAACTCATGGTGAGCAGAGAAGCGGGCGGGCTGTGTGGGGGCTCAGGGTCGGGGTCAGTCTGAGGAATGCGGAGAGCACTTCTCCCCCAGAGAAGGGGAGAGGGAGAGACAGGGAAAGGTGTGAGCCACGGTTCGTGGTTAGAGACACAGGCATCCAGAAGAGCTGGAGGCCAAGGTGTTGGCAGAGGGGCTGCGGGGATAGCAGGGCATTCAGGAAACCCGTAAGTGCGTACGGGGAGCACGTGGGGTTGGGAGCATGAGGGAGGAGGAGCAGATGAGTGGTTGTCACGCTGTCACAAGGTTCCAGGCTGATGTCTTCCTTTTCCCCTTTTATTTTTTATTTTGGGCCGACAGAAGTGTTGCACTAATAGCGTAGAGCATCTCCAGGCCATTTTCGCATTCTGCCAGTTGGCCTCGTGCACTCACGTCATCTTGTCGTCTTAAAGCAAAGCTCCCGAAGGTTGTCTCCATGCACTGAGTGGGTCCCTCCACTGCTGGAAACTCCTGGGCTTCATGGGAAGTCCCTTGTGATCCGGCCTCAGTCCCCCTTACACTGCGCTTTCCTCAAGCCACCTTCCCCCACCCTTCTCTTTCCAACCCGACACACCCCACTTGTCTCTGTCGGACTCTGAGACCCCCAAAAAGGACCCAGACCGAGGCCTTAGTGACATTTTATTCTTCCCTGGCAAACAGCAGACAAATGAGGTCATGAGCAGAAAGCCAGACATAACAGAGATGCGGAGATACGAGGAAGAGTTTATGTCAGGGTTCCCACCTGAGTCGCGACAGCTCAGGGCCCCGGAGCCTGAGCTCCCCTGGATGGGAAGGAGGAACCGATGACGTTCTCCCACCAGCCTATGGAGCCCGAGCTCCTCTCTAAGACCCTGTGCCCTCCCCTCCTGCTAAGATGGACCAACCCACGGCCCGTGGGAAAGGAGAGGGTGAGGCAGGGAGATCAGACGTAGGTCTGTGGGTTTGACCTGCCCCACACCCAGGATTGGGGTTGTTTTCACTTTTGTAGGTCACCTGGGACAATTCTGTAGGAAGCTCTAGGCTGTCCCCATAAGACTCCAGATATTTTTTTCCCTCTCATCTGCAGAACGATGTCAGAGTTCCTACCCTTTGTGTGGTAGAGATGTGTCTGGATGTGGGAGACCTGGCCTGGGCCACTCCTGGTTCTGGCTGTGGAGGGACAGATTGACTCCCTGCTATCAGTGAGCCTCTGCTGCAGCAGACACCTGGGCCCAGGAGCCAGGAAAATGCAATCCTGCCTCCCAGTGGCCACCTGCCATAACTGCAGCCCAACAACCCGGTCTCCACCCCTCTGGCAGCGCTGGCCCGGGGCCTGGGCCCCATCTCCCGGCTCCGCAGGCCTCACGTGCTGAGGTGAAAGGGAGGTGTCAGAGCAAAGAAGCATCAAGTCTTACACACGCGCAGACAAACCTCTGCCTTTTATTCTGGTTTTAGAAATAAGGATACATGTTCAGTGAGGTCAAATAACTCATCCGAGGCCATCTAGCTTAAGTGTCAGTCCTTGGTCAAGTCATGTCCACCTGACACCAGACTCCACCTCACGAAACAACTGACCTCTCCCGTGCTGTCGCCCGCAGTGCACCTCAGAGTTGCTCAGGGGCCTCGGGAGTGCATGGCTCCATCCGGAAACTAAACCTACTGAATCCGGATCCCTGCGCACAGGTAGGAAGGTGTCTTCAGCTCACCTTCACAGCAAATGATTGCTTCTATGCCAACAGCTTGGAACCAAAAGGCAGAATTGTCACCTCTAGGGAAGGGAAGGACATGTTCAATCATTTCTGAGTTCCTTAACACTGGCCCATGAATTGGTCAGTATGACTTGGGAAATGAACGAACAAGTGAGTGGGTGAGGTCCCCCCCCAGTGTGATAGTAACTATGTGACTCCCACACACAAACACACAGAGCTCTACCCACATATGCTTATACACGTGCAGACACACATACACACTTGCAGACATTCATATGCCCACAGGGCAGAGGGGATACAGCCTGACAAACTCCAGGTGGTCCCAGCTGCCCAGAGCTGCCCAACCCTCCCCTCCTCATACACTCATGCACAACTCTTTCTTCACTGACCGGTATTTATTGCACACCCATTGGGTGCATAGCTCAGCCCCAGGCCCTGGTCAGACACCGCTGACCCCCAAGGGCCAGCCCCACATGGGGGAGCTGCAGGCCCCAGGGCTCATTACAAGCATGGACATGGACAGGAGAAGGAGGCCCAGCAGGGAGGCTGGAGAGGCAGTGCGTCAGCCAGCAGGCAGCAGGCGGGCAGCAGAGAGGCCCCCCTTGGCGGCAGCCTGTGGGCACACTTGGCTGAACAGAGACAATGGTGGCTGCCCCTCCTTCCCACAGGCACAGCTTCAGGTCCCTGAGTGTCCGGAATCCCCACCCACCCAAAGAACAGGCTCAGCTGGGACCAGCCAGAGGGCAGCTCAAGGGGACTTCTCAGGGAGGGCGGGGGTGCAGAGGGGGCCTGGCGGCCCTGGGGAATGGAGCTTTAAGGGATGGGGTGTGTGGGAGGGGGTCTAGTCCTCCACGCAACCCTCCAGCCCTCCTCAGCTGCAGCTCCTGCCAAGAGAGCCCCACGGGGATGGGTCACCAGCTCTTACCCTCAGGCTGCCCAGGGGTCTGAACCTCTTTCCTGGCCCTGGGGACACAAAGGCCCCCTGTCCAGGGCTCTCCTGGCGCCCCCACTGCTTTTGGGCCATTGGCCCTGCTCTGCTGATTGGCAGTTGGGCGAGGGAGGCGGGACGCTCTCGGTTGCCCTGGCGCAGGGCCCACTGCAGGGAAGGGGAGACAAAGGCGCAGACCCCAGAGTCAGCCTCCCTGAACCCTGACCCCTGTGTGCCTGAAGGCTGCCACCTACTGGGGCAGGGCCAGAGTGACCCTGCCCCCTCAGTCACAGGAGACTGGCTGGGGCCTTCCAGGGCCTCTCCTAGTAAGTCACCTGATTCCCAAGGCAAGGCCACGCCCAGGACATAACCTCCCAGAGGCCTCTGTTGCCCTAGGCTCCCTCTAGGGACGCTCAGGGCCCATCGTGCTCTGATTCTGGAACAGGTGCTGAGATGCCCCAGGCCCAGGAAACGTGGCCACTCTGGATTTTGAGGAGTGGAGAATGACATGGGACAAACTCTGGGGGTGAAGCCAAATATTTGGCCTCCCTCCTCCCTCAGGGGTGGCCAGGGACTGGGGCAGCAAAGGGCCTGCCATAGCGGGGGCGGGCAGAGCAGTACTGGCAAAGCTCAGAGAGGGAGATGGGCTGTCCCCAGCAGGGAAGGGAGGGGCCTCGCCCCCTGTCACAGGGCTACTGAAATGGGCTCCCCAGAGAGTTTTGTCCCATATCCACCCCAGAGCAGGGGCCAAAGTCTGCTTCATAGCTGATGGCGGTTCCGCTTGGGGATAATCTTCCGGTAGGTTCTGCGCTCTGAGATGTTGCGTTTCACCTTGGCTGTGGTGGGGGCCTCGTCCTGGTGCAGAGATGGGCTTGAGTGGGACTTCTTCAGGCTGGGCTTGGGTTCCTGGGTGCCTCCAGCTTCCCTCCCCAACTGCTCCTCCCACTGGTCCAGGTCATCTGAGGAGCAGTGCAGACGGGTCACCAGCAGCTGCACGTACATCTCATAGCGGGTTTTCTGCAACATACAGGCACCCCCACCTTAGCACCATCTGGCTTCAGCGGGGGAGGAGGCTGGAACCATGAATGACAGACAGTTCACAAGTGTATAATGTTTCAGCGATAAAAACTTCAGCGGAAAAAGGGCTGGATCGACAGTTAACGTCTATATTTTACCTGCAACCAGTGTTATCTGGACAGCAGTATAGTAACACTGATGAGCCAAGCCCTTTTTTAACAGCCAATACCATGTAGTGCTCCAAATAACATCTCCTAGATTCTGAAAGATCTGTGACCTACCAAGCAGGCCTGAGATCTATACAGCACCGCACACAAACAGCCCGTGTCTGTACTGAACCCTCGTTGAGCCTGAACAGCATTTTAACGATGGACATTTAGAAGAGTGTGATGCTAATGGCCCTCATCTGCTCAACACTCCTAAGGCCTCTGTAACTAGAACCTCCAGTCATGGTTCCCAGTTTGCTCAGTGCTTTCCCACCCTCCATCCCATGAGGTCGTCATCCCAGCCTGGGAGGTTGGGTGGGGCACACATCACTGTCCCTAATTATAAAGAAAGAAATGAAGCCTCTGGAGGGCCAGTGGCTGCTAAAGATCCTGCTGGTCAATGGTAGGGAGGGGCTGGCATTGTGCAAGCAGACCTAGGTCCTGTCGGCCACCCCTGGGGCCCCCGCGAGGTAGTGTGCTCACAGCCATGGGAACAACAACAAGCCAGAGAGACGATCAGGCAGAGAGAGGGGACCACAGGGGCCCAGTGGTACAGCCAGCAGGAGACACTGACGCTAGCTTCTCTGGTTTCTGCCTTTGGATCACCTCTAACCTGTCTGCTGTCACACTTGCCCCTCACCTGCCTTTGCTGCTTAGGTTCTAGAATGTGCACTGACATCAGGCCAAGGCAGAATATGGGTAGGGGGTGGGGGTGGGGGTTAAAACATTTCAGATTGATTATAGAGTTAATAAAGTTCATTCCTTACTTAAAACCATAAATGACCGGAGTAACATGTACATTTGCCAGGTTTGGACAAGTTATTTGATCTCTCCATGCCTCGGTTCCCTCATCTATAAAATGAGGATCATAGTCCCTACTGCATAGCTGTTAGTAATTTAATAAGATAATCCACACAAGCAATACATTAGCTCCACAAATACAGACTATAATCAGGTAGGTATTAGGAGAAATAATTCATACCGCATACATTTTTTCCTTCAACTTAGGAAAAGCCAAATATACTTTTAGGAAAAAAATTATAAAAATAATGTCCCTAATAGTGTTTCAGACAAGCGGCTGGTCTGTAGTCCCAGAACACGAGGGCACACACTGCGCAAGCACGAAGGTACACTCACTGCACAGGAGCCTCTCCTCCTCCAGGAGAGGCTGCAGTGCCGGACGCAACCACGAGGGGGCGGGCGTGAGCCGATGTCTCACCTCGTGCTCCAGGTACTCCTTCCGCAAGCGGTATTCCTCCAGCTCCCGGCCGCGACCCCGCCGCTCAGGTAAGTTCCTCTGCAGATCCAGCAGGTCGTCGGAGGCGGCGTCCAGACAGTTCTCGTGGGATCGGTGCTGCTCCTCCTAGCAGCAGGAGGCGATGGGGGAAGCATTCCCGAACTCTCCCTCCTTCCAGGTCCTAGTGCAGAGCCCACCCCACCTACCCCGTTCCAGAGCCAGATATGCAGCCTCATCCCCCTCCCGGATCCAGGTGTGCAGCAGCCCCTCCCCCTTCCCAAGCCAGGTGCGCAGCCCGGCGCTCCCTTCATTTCCGCTCTAGTCCGTGCACTCCGTTCCCCACGTTGTCCCCGTCCCTCCCCGCGGCCGTACCAGGGAGCTCTGGGCGGGGCCCGCGGGCAGGATGGGCCGCACAAAGCGGCGCTGGGAGCCCACGGCTGCCGGGAACGGCGGCGCGGAGTGGACGGCGGCGGCTAGGTTGATTCGCGCAATCCAAGAGCTCATCTCCTTGGCGGTGCTGAGGGCAGAGAGATCGAGTGGGTCCTGTAGCCTCTCCCGCCCACACCTCCTGTGTGCTCACAGCAGTCCAGCAGCTCAGGGCTCAGAGCCTCAAAGCCAGAAGCCCTGCAACTAGCAGAATGGTTGACCTCTGCTGGTGGTTTCTCATTCATCAAAGAGGGAGATCCGGGAAGGCAACAGATTATACATCAAATTCCAAAAAGATCATAATGTTAGTGACTTCCTAGAACCCTCTGTTCAGAACCGGGAGGCAGCTCTAGTCTTATAAGGAATAGACGCAAAAACACATTGGCAAAGAGGGCCATGGGCAGCGGGACAGGGAAACAGAGTGTGCAGCCTGAGACCCCTTCCAACTGTGCTAAGGTTTGCTGGTCAAGATACCAGCTCCCATCAGGGCAGCCACCAGAGGCGACCACGGCTCAGGGACAGGAAGCTGGGGCCCTTCTGCTTGTCATCCACCCCAGACTCACGGTGCCTGGAAGAGGTAGAGGCGCCAGTCAGCAGTTCGCAGCTGGAAGACGTGTGGCTTCTTGGTGTAGTGGGTGGCTGGCGTGGCCAGCGAGTGGTGCACCCCTACAGGCTCGTCCACCATTTGCCCCACCAAACTCTCCCCCTCGGCGCCATGGTCCTCTCCCTGCCACAGGGCACAGCGGCTCAGAAAAGGGGTTTTCACAAGCTGTCCACCATTCCAAACATTCTGGGCCATTCCCTGTCCTCCTCTGCCCACCCCCCGGACCCATCAGGGTGTGGGGACCCTTCCTACCTTCAGGAAGTAGAGGACCATCCCTCGAAGCAAAGTGTGGAACATCTTCCAGCCACGCTTGCCCCATGGTGCTGCTCGAGAAGCAGAACACAGGTGGGTGGGGGCACCCCACCCAGACACACCCAGGCCGCCACTCCTCACCCCTCATACCAGCTCCAGTCCCCCCACCCCCGCAGGTGCACATAAGCAGGCAGAAGCACACACACACACACACACACCCCCACAGTCATAAACAGGCACATACCCATGTCACACACAGGCAGTCACACATGGAAACCAAAACAGATTAGAACTACTGACAAACAACAACAAATTTGACATTCAGACAAACATCACCTCTCCAGACACACCCACCCGCGCAAGCACAGCCCCAACTCAGACATTTTTCTGGTCCCTACAAGATGCTCTTCAGGAACCCTCTGAGAGAGGCACAGAGCTCAAGCCCTTGGGCAAGAGAGGACCTGCTCCCCTGGGTGCCCCCAGCCTTGCACAGGGCCTGTGGAATGCTAGTTCCCTGGCTAGTGCCCATCGAATCCCGGATTCCTGCTCTGGTACGTTGCTGCCCTGCTCTAAAGCTCCAGCCATCTGCGAAAGATGCCCAAATGCAGAACTGGGCAATTTTGCTCCAAATGCATCTCCCACCATTCTCTTTCACACACCCCATGTTTGGAACAAACTATGCCTGTTCCTTTCTCAGGGAGAGGGTGCCCTCCGCCCAACTTCAAGTACCCAGACCCTCCAAGGTTCAGCTCGGATATCATCATTCCCCAGGAGCTTTAACCCTCCTGTCTCCCACATCCCGCCCAAAACAAAACTCCACAGCTTGCCCTCCTCCACATCCCATCCTTGATCTGGCCCTCCCTGCACCTCTCAGATACTGACATGCCTGTCTGATTTCTACGTTAGCCCAGAGCTTTGGGAGCAGGAACATTAGGTCCTTTTTGTGTCTTACACAGCATGCCCACACAGTCTCTGTCAAGGAAGGAACATGGGCTGCCTGTCCTCAACCTGTGCACCTGTCAGCACGTGTCCCCGAGCAGAGCCACTCCGCGCACCCCCCACACACAGAGGCCCCGCGCAGTGGCAGACACCCACTCTTCTTGCCGTCCACGTCGTGATGCATCTTTCGAGCCAGGATGCCCTGCTTGTAGGTGGGCACCGTGGGGTCCTGGGCCAGCTGGAGGAAGGGGTTGTTCATCTTGCCAACTAGGGGTGATGGCTGGGCCTTCTCAGGCCTGGCTGTGTCTTCTTCGTCCCTGAACAGAGAGAATCAGGTGGAGGTGCTGACTGGGCAGAGGCTACTGGGAAGCACCCGCTGCCTCAGCACCCCTCCCGTTTCTCTCTCACTGGGGAGCCACACCTCAGGACACACCAAAAGGAGTCCTTCAAAGCCAACCCACCAGTTCCTGTCATCCCCAAATCCCACGCTTCTTGCTCCTCCAGGTGTCAACTGGGCCCATCCACCCTCTGAGACTGGCCCAGGCCCTGAACTTGTCCCTCTTTCAGGTGGGCCGAGGGTAGAGGTAGGAGAAGGGAAGGTGCTTTCACTTACACAGCCCACTCAAGCTTCTCACTTCGGATGGACCAGTACAGGGCCTGGAACAGAGGCACACAGGTGGCAAGGTAGCCATGGGCTGCGAGGCCCAAACTGCATCGGACAGAGGTAGGGTGGGGGCGTGCTGCGGCCTGTCTCTCCCACCCCCAGCACAGCTGCCCTCCTTCCTTAAATGGGAAGGAGCTCAGCTGGCGCGCACACGTGTGCACATACACACATGCACAGCCACTTATGGAGCATTCACCACGTGCTGGACATTGTGCTAGAAACTGGAGACGAGGTGACCACAGCTGTCCTAGTCCCTGCCTGAGCTCGGTGAGGCCTGGACTTGTTCTCTCCAAGGGAAATGAATCATCCTCATGCCATCCTGCCCAGAAGGAGCTGGTAGAGCAGGACTCCCTGACTGATAGGGCCAATAACTGCAGTGAACGAATAAGTGAGGTGCCAAACTTTGAAATGATGTAATGAAGATGCATGCAGATGCATCCTGTCAGCTTTGTATAGCCCTGGGCACACCTACAGGTGCCTGGTACATAGTAAGCGTTCAATAAATGTTCCCTGACTAGACAGAGGAACAAATGCTGTAACTGCTGACAAAGAGCACGCTGTGTGCCAGGTCCTGTGCTGAGCACCTGACAACCTTTATGTCTTGATAAGAACAACACTGTAAGTGGTTCTACCTCAAGAGGAATCTGGGCTGGCCACGGGTTAAGTTATCCAAGACAAGAATTCAAACCCTGGAGCAGCTGGCTCCTGGCCCTAGACTTTTTCTTCTCGATGTTGTGCCTTTGCTCACTCACAGAACCGAAAACCAGCACTCAGATCTCCCAGGTCCAGGAATCACCGGCAAGCTCAGTGACCATCTGGGGGCCCCCACCACAGAAGTCTGGTTCAGTAGGTCCAGGGTGGGGGTTGGGAATTTGCATAAGCTAACAAATCCCACAGTGACACTTCGGTCCCTTCAGGCCCTGTCCTCTGGAGGATATATGGGCAGAGCCAGGCCTGAGCTCAGCAACCCCCTTGGGAAGAGGAACCAGGCTCCAGGCCCCAAGCAGGGAGCCATTCCATGAGCAGCCCCTTGTACCACACCTTCAGCAGTTCCTTGGGGAAGTTTCCACCATCCTGCAGACCGTTCAGGTTGGTAATGAATTCCTGGCAGCTCATGCTCTTCCCAATGTTCTGTGGCCATGGAGAGAAGTGGGACAGCTGGTACCACCACCCACCCCCGCCCCGCCAATAGGATAACGCCCAGCCAGCCACACTGGAACCTCCTCCAGTTCCCCAGGGCCTTCCCTGGCCCCATCCCAGGCCTCTGGTCTCAACTCCCCTCTTCTAGCCCCCGTCCTGGCCCCTGCCTCAGGTCCCACAGGTGCTCTGCCCAGTCACTCACCGGTCCATGCAGGTCTGTGTTCAGAAGCATGATGGCACAGGTCAAGGTGTGTATGGAATCTGCCTCAGAGAGAGGTGAGAGGAGAAAAAGCACTGGAACCGAACTCTACTTTTCCTCTACCCACACTGGGCGGTGACCTCCAAATACTTCTGGTTCTCCATAGCCTCCTAAACACATTCCCACCAGCTGCCACCCAGGGAATTCCCAAGCAGGCCCGGGGACATGCCATGCCGCCCTCCCCGGTGCTCCAGAGTCCCCTGCCCTCCTACCCACTGAGGAGAAGAGCCCGGGGTTGCAGTGATGAAAGCGTCTGGAGAACTGGTAGAGGACTCGCTCTCGCTCCTGGGTCTCCCCACTGAGAACCAGGGCCTGGAGGAAGCTCCTGGAGGAGGGCCAGAATCAGGACAGGGCCCAGGCTGGACGGCCCATAGGCCCCAGGGCTCGGGCCTGATTCCAGCCCCGGCCATCCCTCCTCCCCAGGGAGAGCCCAAGGTGTTACCGGAGGGCACGGTCTAGGCTCTGGCCACCAAACTGGAAGAACGTCAGGTACTCCTGAGCCACAGCCCTGCTGAAGTCATCACTGTGGAGGGAAGTGAAGATAAAGTCCGGGCCGGGGCCTCGGCAGGAGGCCACAAGCACAGAGGGAACCCAGGGCCTGCACACATCCTGGGACCTGAGAAGTAGGGCTGGGGGCCCTGAGCAAGGCAAAGCCCAGCCAGGCAGACCTGGGGACCAGAGAGGGCAAGAGGCAGCCAGGGTGTGACCTGTACTGGCACCCCACCTCCTGCTGGGCGGGAGGGACCGTGTAGTCGGGACAGGGAGGCAAAGTGGCTGGTCCAGTGGCTCTGAGCTGGGTCAAGAGTGTGGCGAAGCGAAGACACCGGTGTGACAGAGGAAGAGATAGGCATGGAGAGGGTACAGGGAGGGGGTACAACCAGGAACGATGGGGTCAGAGGTCAGCAGTGGGCTGGAGGGACCCAGGGATGGGTAGGGGCGGCCAGTGGAGCAAGCCTGTCCTGCCTCACCCTAGAGCCTCTTCGCTCAGGCTCAGGGCCCCTTACTTCTTTCGCAGGTGTGCAGCGACTTCGGACTTCCGGAAACCCTCCAGGCGATAGAGGCGGGAGGCCAGGTCCCAGGCCAGCTGGCTGGTCCTGATGCCGTTAGCCAGCTTGTCTGCGGCCTGTGGCCTCTGGCCTTCCTCTGGGGACTTCACTTGGGGCACGGGGTCCTCAGGAAGCCTGAAAAGTCCATCAGTGTCCTCAGACTCTTGGAGTGCCTGTCCCCCTCCCCACCCTCCAGCTCCGGCTTCACTGCTAGACCTGGAACCAAAAAAGGTGCTTGGATGAGGCCAGAACAGGAAGCTAGCCTGGCTTGAGGACTGGCGAAGCCTGGGGAGTTGGGTGGTTTTGTCTCTCCCTGGTACTGTGGTAAAGAAAGGTTTTACCCTGGGAGATGGGACGGTGACCTGTTATGAGTAAGCGCAGGCCGGCAACCCCCACAGACTCAGAGTGACACTCAGAACCTCAGAAGTCACCACGTCCCATCTGTACCCGACTCTTGTGTTTCCCCTGCAATATCACAACCCAGTACGGGGTATCCTCGTTCTCTGAATGCTCATTATCCAGGTTCCCACAGTGAGGGATTGCGCAGGGAAGCAGAACTCATCATTATATGAAAATTTCCTGATAAACTATATCCTCTTTGGCCCAAATGGGTTAGTGTCTTCACTGTTAACTTCTCACAGCATCCAGAGGCTTAGACACGCCCAACAGGGTGGGGCAAACATAATGGAAACCAACTGAACAGTAAAATTACAAATCTTGCCAAAAAAACCCCTAGGACTTCATGAAGTCAGTGATGCAGGAAAACTCCAGGAATCACACAGAGAGGAGTCAGGAGAGTTAGGTCAGTGAACAACTGAAGAGCAGGAAATAAAAATGACATACTTGTCCCATCTAAAGAGAACTATTTGGATAGTCAGCTGACAAAGCCCTAAAATACTTTTACAAAAATGACCTTGTCAATTAGTGTCATTCCTAAAATGATGTCTAGACAGAGTGACACTTTGCAAATATAAATTGCCATGGGATTGTATGCTTTAAATGATTGAATTGTATCTTAATAGAGCTGTTCATAAAATAAAAATAAGTAAACAAAATAAAATAAACCTCTTTGACCTCACTGTGAAAGTCAGGTGTGAATGAAAGACATCTCTTGGGCCAGCAGGCTTGGGCCAGGAAAATTAAACCTCTTATATTTTGTTAAACATTAGATTAAATAAACTTATTTATGGAATGCTTAGTATCACTTGCCAAGAAAAGTGATTAAACTTTTCGTTATTTTCTACAAAGTGTGGTTCTCATTTTAGATGGATTTATTAATTTTCTTTTGGGCTGAAGTAACTTTAAATTTGGTACGACGAGCCCTCTCTGTTTAGCTACTGAGAGACCCCTCAGTCACCCAGCTGCTGAGGCCCTCCAGGGACGGCAGTTTCCCAGATGCACGAGGGGCCTGGCTCTTTGATCCCCACAGTGATGGGTTCTGTAGCCACCCCTTGGGACACGGAGATGGGAGTGGAGTTGACCCTGCAGTCAGTGCAACTCCAGGTCCTTGACCCGAACGGTCATTGGTCTCTTCAGCACGACCCCTTGTTAGCGAACCGGGGGAACAAAGTCTTTTGCTGAGTGGAGACCCCAGGGGCTGATGTCTTTACGCAGCCTCCAGAGGGGCAGAACTAGGCTGGTTTCCCACGTGGCTTGTTCTCGTCTCCGGCCACAGTTCTGGGGATACTCGATCCTGCTCTGGACCCCAAACCCATTCCCTTGGTCCCACTCAAACCTGGGGTGGGTACTCTGGCTTTTCCTGAGATCTGAGCTAGCTCCCTGGGCCCAGGCCCTTGGACGAGTTTCTCCCAGACGCCTCCTCTAACTCAAAGCCTGTGTAAAACCACATCACATGCTCTGACCTCCCACGCCCCAAACCTTCCTAGCGCAACTCCCATCTCTCTGGGCACATGGCCTTGGTCAGGTTTCCTGGACACTGACCCTGCCTCTCCTGCTGTCCAACCTTGGACAGGTCTCCTGGGGCCCTGATTCAACACACTCAAATCCTCCCCATGTGTATGACTGTTGCTCTTTGGTTTCTGGTGCATTCACACCCTCCTGTCTTCCTCCAAACCCTGCTTGTGCCTGGGCATATAACCCTGGCTTAGCTGACATTAGTGTGTCAAACGCCGGGATGCACTCCTCACGCTCCCAGACCGGGGCACTCCTACTTAACCAGTCCCACACTTACCCCCCTGAAGAAGTCAGGTGAACATCGGGCTGCACAGCTCTGGAGTCTGCGGCGGCAGCAGGGCCCTCGCACTTCACTTCCTCCCCTGGGCCTGGGGCCTCTCTGGCCTCCTCTCTCTCCACAGAACTTGGCTTTGTGCTATCTGTCTCCAGGAGTGAAGGATAGGAAGTCTCTAATGTCCACGTGGGGAAGACGCTGCTGGTGTGGCAGCTCTGGGGCTGAGGGCTGCCCTCCCGGGAGGACACAGGGCTGGGCCGGGGGCCGCTGGGGCCTCTGCTGTCAGGCTCGGGGCTGCTGGGCTCCGGTGACGAGTCTGGGCCCCACCAGGGGCCAGAGGCCAGGGTACAGGGAGCAGATTCCTGGGGACACTCGGCATCTCTATTGTCTGAGAAAGAGCAGGAGTGAGGTGACAGAGGGGCGAGCAGAGCAGCAGGCTAAGGGCCAAGGGGCCTGGCAGAGCCAGGACAGCCCTCTGCCTCCTCCCCAGGCTCCCTCCCTGGGGCTCCTCCCTGCAGCTGCGTGGCACGTCCTGTCCCTCCTTTGGGCCGTGGCCTCCCACATGCAGAGGCAGAGGGCACGGGGCTCCCAGGACTCCAGCCCCAGGGCTCAGGACTGATTAACCACTAAGATCCAGGCATCAAAAATGCTGGATCTCCTGTCCATTTCTTCATTTACTCTATGAGATGAGTACTTAAAACCCACGGTCCTGGGGATGTCACTGAGGCAGCAGCAGGATTTAACCCCAAGTCTGTCTGGCTCCAACATGGTACAGGAGGACCCTTATGACACCCATGGATCCAAGAATGACCTTGGTCCCACTCTGGATGCCAAAGCCTCCCACCACCCAATTTCCCCGACCCCAGACTGGGTCTCACCTCTGTCCTGGGAGATAAGAGGCACCCGGGGCCAGGAAGGACGCTGTTCGGTCTGCCAGTCCTCAGGACTAGACAGGGCCTGTGGAGAGGCACAGGAGATCCGGGAGCCCTGGAGGCCCTGAGAGGCACAGGAAGAGTCCAGGCGGGGAGATGGGGAAGGAGGGGGAGGGGAGAGTGACCATGAGTTACAGAGCTCCTCCCTCCTTGCTGTCCTCCCACCCAGCCTGGGCCCCGCGTTCAGAGGAGGAACCCTGGATGGGAGAAGACCTACATACATCTCAGGAGCGCTGGTACTAAGCCCTGGAAACCACTGGGTTCACATTCCACCTTTACAGATGGAGAAGGTGAGGCACAGCGAGGGGGAGTTACTTGCCGAAGGTTGCACTGGAAAGGCGGCAGGGCTGGGATCACATCTGATATATCCTGCTTCCCAGGTCAATGCTTTGTCCACACAGCATGCTGCAGGATCAAGACTGGTCGCCAGAGAAGCCTTAGGGAAGAAAAGGAGAGGAGTGGCTTGACCCGGGGGAACAGTTCCCAGAGCTTTCCCAAACCCCATGTGGCCTCCAGGGCCCCAGGCCCCTGTCCACTGACTTCTAGTCTTCCCTGCCCTTCGCCCTCCCTCCATGGTCCCCCTGGGCGGCCCTGCCTCCTGTAGCACCAGCCCTAGGAGGGGCTGTGTTATAGGGAGGCACTGGGCAGGGTCTGCCATCCCAGGGGGGAGCACACGGCAAGCCCCGAGGACGAGTTCAGGGCTCCCAGACTTTCCTCTGATGACCCCTGGGGCCCTAGAGCCAGCAGGCCCGCCCACACTGGGACCCCAGCCTGTGGGGGAGGGGCAACACTCAGCAGTCCCTCTGCTCTCTGGGTAACAGGTCTCCACTGCTCTCTGGGATCGAGAGATTAGAGTCGCAGCCCTGCTCTGCCATTTGAAGTCTCCTTATCTCTTCAGCAAAGGCCTCCCTTGGAAAACTGTGCTCCCTATTGTCTCACACACTTGTCCTCAGAACTTGTCTTAGTTGTTATCAAGGACCTCTGCCTTTGTCATATGGGCTTGATCTACTGATACTGGGCAGGGAGGAGGAACGAAAGATGGTGAGCTAAAAGTAACAAAATGCTGAAATCTCTAAGAAAAGAGAGGACAGGACTCTAACAGAACTGTCCTGCCAGGGTCAGAGGTCCCCCTTGGCAGCTGACCTCTGCAGTTACAGTTAGGAATGTGCTGGAGGGGGGAGGGCTAGAGTCTGAGAATGGCCGGGAACAGGCTGCAACTGGAGGAGCTGCTGTTTGGGCAGTGTGTTCAGACGCCACCCTCAGAGCTGGCGCGGTGGAGACACGGGATGTAACAACCATCACGGTTGAGTGACATCATGGCACCAGTAAAATTTCCTATAATTCTAAAGGCCACACTGATCCTGCCTTCCTGTTATGTTACTCTAGGCGCTGGCATCTGGAGCCCTGTGGCGGCAGAGTAAGGCCTGTCCTCCTGAGTCCCCACACGCAGCTCTGGGCTGGTTCGGTTCCCAGGGCCCAGCTTACCTCACTCTCGCCCAGGCCAGGAGGTGCTGCTGGAGCCGGGTGGGTGGTGTCCAGCGCAGCCCGGGAGGAGGAGTGCGGTTTGTAGGTGGGCACAGGGAACGGAGGGGTGGTGTGCCCGCTGGAATCATCCATGCTGTCCCCCGAGTCTGGCTCATCTCCCAGTCCCCCTGGCACCCTGCCTCCTGGAAGAGGAGGCTCCAGGGTCTGTGGGCTCTCAGGCTTCCCATCAGCGCAGGAGTCTGGGCACCGCCAGGAAAAGTGCTTTCTGGGAGCACCAGTGTCTGAGCAAGGGCTCCCCAGGAAGAGGGGGTTATCAAAGAACGTGCTCTCCTCCTCAGCACCCCACTCTGGGGAGGAGCCTGGTGTCTCCTTCCCTGGCCGCCCGGAGGCCTGGTTCTCTCCCTCAGGTCTATGGCAGTCTTCCCCAGAGGCCTCCTGCGTGGGTGGGCTGGGGTGGAGGCCTGAGTCCAGGGGGCTGGCCAGGCTGGAGGAGAAAGGGGGGCAGTCCGCAGGGGCCCTGGGGATGCAGGACCTCAGGCCGGCCCTGAGCTCCTCAGTCTTCTCCAGCTCCTCCTCCAGGTCCAGGACACACATCTGGGCCTGCAGGATGCCCGCCCAGAACACCACTTGGGTCGACGTGCTCTGGCTCTGCTGTGGACCCCTCTGGGGAGACGGGCTCCCCAGGCCCTGGGGCTCTGCACCAGGGCCTGGGGGGGCAGCATCTTGCCTCATGGAATCAGGAGGGTCAGATGGCCAGGGCTGTTCCGGGAGAGGTTTGGGTGGGTCCAGATGGCTGCTTGTTTCCCTGGGGTGCACTCCTGGGTGGGGCTGCAGATTGTCTCCCAAATAGGTGTTGAGAACTTCCATGGGTTCGGGGTGTTCAGAGAGTCTTTCGTCACCCATCATCCACAGGGAGCAAGTGTGTGGGAGCCCCCAGAAGTGTCCACTTTCACAATCTCATTGTGTGGATTAGGGGGAATGCTGGCCACGGGGGCAACGGGAATCCACTCTGCCCTGGAAGTGCCCAAAGCAAATGCAGGTCAGCAAAGGGCTTCCAGCTCCTGTCTAATGAGTCAGGTGTGTGGGAGTCCCTGTCATGTGCATGGCCCCGGCTGGCACGCACTGCCCTCCACGGCGATGTGCTACAGGAGGGCACCGTGTATGCCCTCTGACCCTACCATCTCGGCCACTTGCTCCAAAGACACCCATCTGTGGGCTGAAGGTGGCCCGAGTAGCTTAACTGAAAAAAAAAAATGGACTGGCCGAATCAGACCCTCCTCTCGGGGATCTAGACTGGACAAGGGGGAGGGGGTTGGAAACAGAAGATGGAAATGTCTCAAAACAGCATGAAATCAGTGGCAAGCCAAAAACAACACATAAACCAAAGCAGGTGGCAGCCAGAGACACAGACTAGAGTCAAAAAGGATTGAACAGAATCTCTCATGGAAAAAGCAGCCACCTCCTCAACACACCTTATGTCACTCCTCAAGGTTTGTCTTTGGGGCCTGCATCTTTTGCAAGACTGGCCAGCTGGTCCTCGCTTACAGCTGTTCGGCTTGGCCAATTGGAAGCAGGTCCAGGCACACACTAAGCTTTAAGCTGGGCCTGGTCTTCTGGAGAGTGGGTGCTTCCTGCTGAGGAGGGGGAGGCTGGGGACATGCGGCCACATCCGCCTGGGCTACATCACACCTGCTCAGAGCTGCCCTGCGCATCTGCCACACTAGCCACACTGGCCACACCAGCTCTGGAGCTTGGGGTAGGGCCTTATCTGCTGCAGCCTATCTTGCAGGGCAGTAGAGGGAAGGGCTGCTTCTTCAGAACAACTGATTAGTTTTGCTCTCCTGGCCACTGTGAAACGCGTAACTGGACTGTCTCTGCCTTGTACTGACTCTCAGGAAGTGTGAGATTAAGCAGACAGGCCCCTGGGACACGCCGTTCCAGTATGGAATGCACTTCTGGCTTCATCGCATCTTCTCTTATGTTCCTTTTGCCTCAAACCCCTCACTCTTATATTTCTATCTTGAAGATTATGTGTGCTTGTAATTTGTATTGAAATATTTGGTGGAATAGGCATATAAATACAAATATATGCTCACAACCTGCAAATGTATGTGACTCACCCACTTGATGTCCCACCTTACACGCCCTAAAAATGGGAGCCCAGAGCTGGAAAACCAAGGTCAGATGGGGTCCTACTGTGGCAGGCCCCCTAGAACCCACAGTTTGGGCTGTGCCTCTTGTAGGAGGGTGCCCGAGGGAGATGAAACAGGACCCCCGCGAATTTCAGTTTCTTATTCCTCCTGAAACCATCCTTCCTCAAAACCCAACCACCTTCAAAAATAGCATTCGTTTCTGGGTTTCCGCCTCTCCCTCTGTCCCAACCACACACTCCCCACTTTTAGCAAGAATATGTAATTGCAGGATGATGGCCTCAGGATTCTGAAGTTTTAGCCTCAGGAAAAGCCCCCATCCAGCCTCAGGGCCCATTTATTGCTGGGTTCTCAGTCACCCCCTGTCCCCCAATAAGCTGTCACCTCCCATTTCTCATTCTCCATTGTGTATCTGGTGCTCTGAATCAAACTCATTGGAACTGGCTTTGCCTTTCCCTTGTCTCCTGGGCATCTCCCAATCTTTTAGCTCAGCCTTCAGTGGTCATTCCAGGCCTTTCTCTCCACCTCACAACCCTCCCTCAAGCTACCGGCTGAGGAGTCACATGGGTTGCTCCCTAGGCCCTGGCTACCCTGCTCCCCAAGCAGTGATCCATTTTCTGCTCTCTGTCCTCTCCCAGTGAGAGACCTGCTGTGATCTTATTTCCAAGGGGTAGGAGGAGTGAGCCTCAGGACCCACAGTCTGGACTCTGGACTCCCTCCCTGGGCCCACCTGGTGGGAAGTGACTAAGAGGGAGCAGGAGGTGAAGTAGCCCCGCTGCAGCCTTCTGGGCACCAGAAACTCTACAACTCATGTAGGGGAGGGGGCGGGCAGAGGGGAAGAGAAGAGAGAAAACACCTGGTTTACAGGGGCCTGAACACAGGTATCCCCAGCATCTTTCCCAAACCCCCGGGCCCCTCCCTCCCTTCTGAGGCCTATTTGTGTGAGCTGTCCCCTCCCGGGACCATTTTCTGGTGGGTCCTCATTCTTCCAAACCCCACCCCGGCATCTGAATGTGTCCCGCCAGGAGTTCCCAAGGGCACCAGTTTGCCTCAATGACATCACGCCTCTGCTGTTACTACTGAACACGCTTGACAGGAAAAGTTCAAATGCCAATAACAGAATGGAGATGTGGGCAGGGTGAGCAAAAGGGTGTCCTGTAGCTTTTCATATGTTCATCTTTGCAAACATGTACTTATAACTAAATGAATAAATGTGTACATGTAGACGAAGCAACCACATAGGTCAATGTTAATTCTGCACTAAACGCTGGATTTGCAACCCCAGAAGAAACCAGGTGTTCCTCAAGAGATTCTAAGAGCAAAGGTCCCGAGAATGAAGAGAAGGGCAAGTGTTCAGGGGCCTGAGAGGTCTGCAGGGCTTGGGAGAGTGGGCCTGGGGATGGGGGAGCCCAAGGCCATGAGAGGACAGACAGAGAGAGAGACCAGCAGACAGACTGACAGCAGTTGGTGGGGGACAAGTATGCCATTTGATGGGGTCACGACTGAACTAAGGAAGTTCAGCCAGCTACACTCCACCCCTCACAGAGCACTAACCCAGCGTGCAACTTCTAGTTTCCTCCCTCTCCCAGAATGTAAGCGCCATGAAGGCAGGTTCTTGCTCAGGATGTCTCACTAGGGACATGTTGGGTAACCGAACCACTTCAGCGATTGCTGATGTTAGGCTCACTCCCAACTAAAAGTTCAGGGTGGGGATATATGGTTATGCTTCAGTTCAAGTAGATTAGAAAAGTAAAGTTTGGTGTCGACTAGGAAGTTCAGGACCACCTGTGAGACACGGGGTTACAGAGCTTGGTGGGAGGGGTCCTGGCTCCAGATAGCAGTTCCACCTGGGGGCCGCAGCTGTGTGGCAGGGCTGCCCCATTCAGCAAATAAATATATAGGAGGCCCACCCCCCCATTCCCAATATTTGGGACATACTTGTACTTAAAAATTGTTCATTGTTTATCTGCAATGCAAACATAAGCGGGCATCTGTGTTTCCCCTGGCAACCCTCCCCCCTGGGGAGACGCAAGGACTGCGTGGAGCCCTGCGCGTGCCAGCTACCACCCGAACTTCTCCACGGGCTCCCGTCAGCCGCTCCGCAAACAGGACAAGCTGTAACATCTGTCTCCTTCCACTAATGGAGAAGCCAAGGCTCCAAGTTTTAGAAACATGTGGGGAGCTCAGCAGGGAAGCGGGGCTGGACTCTCTTGACATCACTGCCTTCCCACCACCCACAACTCCCTCGGGCATTCACAAAACCCTGGGAGCAGCCACTCGTTCATCTGCTCCGACTGTCCAGAGCAAGGCCTGCTGGACTCAGGTGGCACTCCAGAAGTCTCTGTGAGAATGAGAAGGAAGGATGGTGGGGTGCCAAGGAGGGACAGACCCTCAACAAATTCACTGGAGGCCTGGTGAGCTGGAGCTGGGAGAAGAGTCAGCCTCACATGACCTTATGACCTGAGGGCGAGGCTGCCCAGGAGCCAACTACATCCTCCCTGGAAGCTCAGCACCTGGGGGAGGACCTGCCCCTGGGTGCTCCTGCTGGGCCAGCAGCCGACACACTCCTGTCTGTTCCCAGCTCCCAGGAGCAGCTGGATGGAGAGGAAACCAGAGAACCCACAGTCTTCTTGACTGTGCCCTCGGCCTGCGGAAGAGACCCTGCAACTGAGGGTTTAAGAAATATCTATCTTCTACCTACCTATTACCTATCTGTTATCTATCTTTCCATTATCTATCTATCTGTAGATCTTCTACCTGACTCAGTCTTTATCTCTATCTCCCTCCTCCCTCACCCCTCCCCCTCCGCCTTATCCTCTCCTTTTTAAAAAATGTCTCTTCCCTGAATGGAGGGGTGGAATGACCTGAGAGATAAAGTGACTTAAGGCCATCAAGGCAGTCCCACCAGTCACCTGGACAGGTGCAGCCTGACTCTGCAAGGGTGAAGGGTCAAGCAGGAGGTGACCAGCCTGTTTTGGGGCAGCAGGGCAGCACTTCTCAGGCACGGCTGGCCTGGCCTCCTCCATCTACAATCTTCTTGGCTTTTTTTTTTTTTTTCCCCACCTCTGGCTTTTAGTGAAATCTCTTGAAATGGCTCATCTCAGGTATATTTAGAGTAAAGGAGGGAGAAAGTCTGCCTGCCACACGCCTTATAAGGTGGGTTTTGTTACCTCTAAAATAAAATGGCTCTTCATCTTCCTAAGCACCATGAGGGCTCAGCAAGTTTGAGCATAAGTTCTGGGAGAAGTGGAATGAAAGAAAATGCTTAAGCTCCAGAAACAGTGAAGGGAGGGCACTGTCCCTGTGGCCCCGGGCTCCCCACTCTGAGCACAGGCAGCTGAATTCATTTCAGGGAATTCCCATCTCGAGGCATCTCCCTAGGAGAACGCCGCAGGGGCTACGCCTGCGCCCAGCTGCTGGGGGTAAAGGACACAGAGACTGAGTGGGGGGACCAGGAGGATGCAGTGCCCCTCACTCCCTGACGGCTCCACTCCACCCTGGGCTTCGAGGTAGTTTCACTTTGATGTGGGCAGGGAGGGAACCCGGTTGTCCCCGGGACCGTGGTTTTGGGAGGTGGGTTTGCCTTTCTCCCCCAGCTTGGGCACTTAGCCTGTACTCAGCCTGCAGGAGGCCGGCACAGCCTGCCCTGAGGGAAGGCCACGGCCTGGGCATCCTGCCCGCCTCACACCTGGGGCTCCCAGGCTGGAGACTCAGACCCTAACTATAGCTGAGCAGCCGTTGACTCTGGTCAGAAACTCCACCTGGTTCCTTATCTGTAAAATAAGGG